TAGAAACTTGGATTCATTGAACTTTATTAGCTTAAAACTGCTCTCAGACCTTTGGAATTCCCTGTAGAACCTTAAGTAAAGTGAAGTGAGAAGACAATTTATACAATGACTATAACATTGTAAAGGAAAATATCTTTCACCTAAGAACACAGTGACCAATTACAACTTCAGAAAGGTGATGATGAATCACGCTTTTCACCTCTTAGCACAGAGTTGAACTAAAGGTGCAGAGAGAGACATTCATTTTCAGTCATGGTCAATGTATTGCTGTTTTTTTTAATTAATTTATTTTTGATTTATCAACAATCACTTCCATAAACTTTTGTGTTTTAAATGTTTCTCCTCCTCCCTCCCCAACTGCCTCCCCAAGACGGTATGCAATCTGATATAGGCTATACATATACATTCCTGTTAAACCTATTTTCACATTAGTGATGTTGTAAGGAAGAATTAGAACCAATAAGAGGAACCATGAGAAGAGGAAACAAAACACAACAGAAGAAAAAATAGCAAATAGTATACTTCAATCTGCATTCAAACTCCATAGTTCTTTCTTTGGATGTGGATAGCATTTTCCATCATGAAGCCTTTGGAGATGTCTTAGATCTTGTGTTGCTCAGAAGAGTTAAGTGTATCAATAAATCATCGCACAACATGACTGTTACTGTGTACAATGTTCTCTTGGTTCTGCTCACTTCACTCAGAATCAGACCATACAAGTCTTTCCAGGTTTTTCTGAAGTCTGCCTTTTCATCATTTCTTATAGTACAATAGTATTCCACTACATTCATATACCACAATTTGTTCATACATTCCTCAATCAATGGGCATCTTCTCAATTTCCAATTCTTTGCCACAACAAAAAGAGCTGCTATAAATATGTTTGTACATGTGGGTCCCTTTCCCATTTGTGTGATCTGTTTGGGATAGAGCCCTGGAAGTGCTATTGCTGGATCAAAGGGTATGCCCCTTTGGGCATATTTCCAAATTGCTCTCCAAAATGGTTGGATCATTTCACAACTCCACCAATAATGCATTAATGTTCCAATTTTCCCACATCTTCCCCAATATTTATTATTTTCCTGTTTTGTCATAGTGGTCAATCTGATAGATGTGATGTGGTACATCAGAGTTGTTTTAATTTGCATTTATTTAATCAATAGTGAGTTAGAGCATTTTTTCATATGACTATAGATGGCTTTAATTTCTTCATCTGAGAACCACCTGTTCATATCCTTTGACCCTTCATCAAAAGGGGATGACTTGTATTCTTATAAATTTGACTTAATTCTCTATATATTTTAGAAATGAGGCCCTTATCAGAGAGACTGGTTGTAAAAATTCTTTCCCAATTTTCTACTTTCCTTCTAGTCTTTGTTGTATTGGCTTGGCCTACCCATGAGCAACTGATATTTTACCAATTATTTAGATCTGACTTTATTTGTGTGAAAAGTGTTTTGTTATTGTGTTCATAGAGTTCCTGGGTTTGTTTTGGTAGGTTGACGCCTACATATTTTATAATGTCTACAATAACTTTAAATGGGAATATCTCTTTCTATCTCTTGCTGTTGGGCTTGGTTTGTAATATATAGAAATGCTGATGATTTATGTGGGTTTATTTTACAGCCTGCAACTTTGCTAAAGTTTTTTTACTCTTTCAAGTAGTTTTTTTACTTGATTCTCTAGGTTTCTCTAAGTATATCATCATATCATCTGCAAAGAGTGATAGCTTTGTTTCTTCTTTGCCTATTCTAATACCTTCAATTTATTTTTCTTCTCTTATTGTTAAACCTAAAGTTTCCAGTGCCATATTGAGCAACAGTGGTGATAGTGGACATCCCTGTTTCACCTCTGATCTTATTGGAAATGCTTCTAGCTTGTCCCCATTACATTTGATGCTTACTGAAGGTTTTAGGTAGATACTTCTTATCATTTTAAGGAAGACTCCATTTATTCTTGTGCTCTCCAGTATTTTTAATAGGAATGGGTATTGTATTTTGTCAAAAGCTTTTCCTGCATCTTTTGAGATGATCATGTGATTTCTGTTAGTTTTGTTGTTGATATGATCAATTATGCTGAGAGTTTTCCTAATATTGAACCAGTCCTGCATTCCTGGTATAAATCTTACCTGGTCATAGTGCATTATTCTTGTGATAAGTTGCTGTAATCTATTTGCTAATATTTTATTTAAAATTTTTGCATCTATATTCATTGGGGAAATTGGTCTATAATTTTCTTTCTCTGTTTTGAGTATTCCTAGTTTAGATTTCAGCACCATATTTGCATCATAAAAAGAATTTGGTAAGACTCCTTCTTGACCTGTTTTCCCAAATAGTCTATATAGCATTGAAATTAATTGTTCTTTAAATGTTTGATAGAATTTGCTTGTGAATCCATCTGGCCCTGGAGATTTTTTCCTAGAGAATTCATCAATGGCTTATTCGATTTCTGGCTTTGTGTACTGGGGCCTCCAATGTTGGCAGTTGGAGGCTATAGGGTTCTGGCAGCTTACCTGGCCTTTGGCTTGCCCAGGGTCATACAACTAGTGAGTGTCAGAGGCTGAATTTGAACTCGAGTCTTCCTGACTCCAGGTCCATTATTCTATCTATGATGCCATCTCGCTGCCCCTGATTTTGAGGATACAAAGACAAAAATTAAACATACCCTACCATTGAGGTTAAAGATAAAAAGATGCATGTATATAAGAAGGCATACATAAAATACGTACATGAATATAAGATAATGGAATGGGGTAGGCTAGCAGATGGGCATATGAATAAAGGACTCATGGAGAATGTGGTACTTGAGGTAAACTTTGAAGCAAATTAGAGATTCTAAGAAGTGGAGCTTAGAAATAAATACATTTTAGCCCATTCAGAGGCAGGGAGAAAGGATAGAAGGTGTGTCTATGTGAGAAATAGGGAGAAGGACATTTTGAGGCCATTTTGAGGTGTGTCAAGGGGAATAATGTAGAACAAGGCTATTATTCTATGGTTATAGGATTCTTAATCATTTTTTAAGATTAATCTCCATTTCCTATCAGCAGCTCTGCTTGGTTTCAACTCTATCATTGAACACCATGTCTCCTCCAGAATAAACTGACTAATACCTGAAATCTCATTTTTATCCAGATTGACCCAATTTTGATACCCAACACTTTCTCAACATTCTCACTTGCTGTTTCCCTCTTACTGGAGGGCTGGAGGGTGAAGAAGTAACTGACTTTCCAAACATTACTTTATACTGGGCTCAGATCAGAATTTGCCCAGTGACTCTATTTTCCATCACTACTTTTTTATTTTGACTCCATGGAAAATCATACCTCCTGGACCCTCCTTCTCTTCCCTCTACGGGCTTTTAGCTTAATTTCTGTGTTGTCTTCCCCCATCAGATTGTAAACTCCTTGAGGGCAGAGACTGTGTTTCTTTGTTTGTTTGTATCCCCAGCACTTGGCAAAGTGCCTGCTACATAGTAGGTGCTTATTGCATGTTTACTGAATTGAATCAAATTTGTTTTTGATCTATTCATTGCTCACTTTGTAATTACTCATTCCCTACTTAGCTTTAGACCATTTTCTTGTATTAATTAGCATTTTATTTCATTTTGATTTGAAAAAGATACTTAACATTTCTTTTTTATATCTATTTGTAGTTTCTCTGTGTCTTAATGTAAGTCTACCTTCAAAATGTAGATTGTAAGGCTTAGAAATTTGTATTCTTTGCCCAATAGACTGTTAACAATTTCCTTTTTTTATCTTTCTCAAGTCAATTCAACAAGCATTTATTATTAAAGGCCTACCATAATCCAGGCACTGAGCTAAGTGCTGGGGATACAAAGAATTGAAAAAAAAATTGTCCCTGCTTTCAAAGACCTTACAATCTAGTGGGAGAGACAGAATACAAATTATTGTATATTTTTGTAAACAAGATAGATACAGGGAAAGTTAAAGATAATCTCAAATGGAAGGCATTAAGATTAAAGAGGATTGGGTAAAACTACTTGTAGAAGGGGGCCTTTTTGTCACTTTTTAATTTTAAACTGAAAAATGAAATAAAAGAAAAGAGAAACCAACTTAAATACTAAAGTCAAAATAATACTAAATCAGAAAAAAAAATTGTCATGTGTGCAGGAAAATGTGAGAGAGGATTCAAAATATACAGCAGTAAATTTCCAGTTTAAGAAAGCCTATATAATAATTACTACAATTGTGTTGAAAGCTATCCATCTTTTTTTTCCTTCCTTTTAAGTTTTCTTTTGTTTTCAGCTGTTCATTTTTTACTTTCTTTTTTCCCCCTGTTCTTTCCCTCCCCCAGAAGACTACACTTAAATGTACACACACACACACACACACACACACACACACACACACACACACACATTCTGGATCTCCTATTCTAGTTAGTTGACTTTCTTTACATAATCTTGTGGGTTTTTTTGGATTGTTTTTATTTTTTAAAAAAGTTTTTCTTCAGTCTCTCTCTAATTTGATTTTTTTTTGGTGAGGAATTTGTGGTTAAGTGACTTGCCCAGGGTCATCCAGCTAGTAAGTATTATGTGTCTGAGGCAAGATGTGAACTCAGGTCCTCCTGAGTCCAGGGCCAGTGCTCTATCCAATGCACCAACTAGCTACCCCTCTCATTTGATTTTTAAAATTTTTTAAAGTTCTTCAGTGAATTATTTTTGGACAGGTGACCATTTGATGTTACACTTTGGCGTAGAAGAGGGTTTCTTTGCTTCAATATCCTCCTCTGAAGATGAACCCTGGTCTTCTCTATTTCCATAGTAATTTTCAAACGTTGAATTCTTTGTTCTTTGCCTGCTCATTTTTAAACTTGTGGCAGCTTATTTTTTTTTTGCAATCACTTTTAGCCCTGAGGTATGAGGAATGATGCTTCTGGCTTCAAATTCTCCTTCACTTCTCACCTCTGGCCTGGAATTGAAAGGAAGACCTCCAGTAAGTGCCCATAGCCAGTGGTGCCCCTACTCCACTGCTTCCACACTCACTGGGTGTGTGCTGGTTCCTTCTTGCCCAAAGTCACATCTCTGCAGCATGGCTGGGTCTGGCATTCCTTGTCAGCATAGGTTTCCTTAATCTTCCCAGACTCAGATGTCCAACTTCCTTCACTGTCCTAGGGGTAAAAGTTCCTGTGGCTAGGACTGAGGAGATCTCCTAACCCAGCTAACCCTAGGACTTACCACTTTTTGTTTAAGTGGAACTAGCTTACAGGTGTTTATTCTTCACAGGACCAAAACTTATCCTGGGATTTTTCTTCAGATCTCTGTTTCAGAAAGATCATTGTTCTACCCCTACTCTTATTTATTTTTATCATTTATATTAACCTTGAAGTATTATTTTATCTCATTTGTGGGGAAAATCTGGAGATCTTGGAATTTTCTGACCTACCCTGACATCTTCTCAGAATCTTCTTCAGAAGGTGGGATTTTTAATGTGATTTGAATGAAGCTAGGGAAGCCAGGAGGCAGAAATTAGAAAGGAGAGAGAGCTCCAGGCATGGAAGACAACCAGTGACAATCCCAGAGTTGGAAAGAGTATATCATGGCAAGGGGTGTATCAACAGCAAGGAGTCTACTGTCACTGGATCAAAGAGTACATGGGAAGGAGTAAAATGTAAGAAGAATGGAAAGGTAGGAAGGCACAAGGTTGTGAATAGTTTTAAATTTATCCAGTTCTCAGGAAGGAATATTAAAATCTCCCATAATTATGGTTATATCTTCCGGGGGGGGGGGTTGCAATTTATTTTCTATTAGTAATTTAGATGTTAAAACATATGTTATACATAAATTTAATAATGATAATGTGGCTATAGTATTTTAAGCATAATATAGTTACTCTAGCTATTTCTCTTGAACACACAGATTTTTTTATTCTATTTTATACTTATTTCTATCTTCTTACAATATCATTGCATCCTTTTAAAAAAACAATCTGATATATAAATTTTATTTAGCTATTTAACTTAATTTTCATTATCTTTAGTTTTTAAAATGAGCATATTTGTAAACATCAAATTGTGGGGTTTTACTATCTTATACACTCTATTATCTTTTATTGGGTAGTTTAATCCATTTACATTTAAGGTTCTAATTTTTAGATTTACATTCTCCTTTATTTATCTTCTGAATTGATTTCTTTTTTATATTTTAATTTAATTCTCTTTTTCCTGTGATTAATTTGTTTTGCACTAAATTGATCTCAGCCTTTACCTACACATTTTCTCAAGGTAGAGAGGATTTATGTATCCTCTCTTTTGTATATTCTATTTCAAATTACTTCATTTTACTTGAATTGTTAATCTTATTTTCCTTTATTCTCTTCCCACCAACAATACTACTTTGCTTTTTCTCTATTTTAATGTTAATGATGGTGTGATTAACTGTCCCACTCCAACCTCTTAACTTGAGTGACATTCATTGGTGATGATTCTTTCCAGGAATATTCATTTATTTTGAGTATCTTGCTATTTCTATCCCCAATCTAAACTATTGCAAAATATATTCTCCCAATCATGGGCCATATACTTACGTGTTCCTTCTTTATTTTCTCTCTGTCCCTCACACAAGATGAATATGGAGGCACAAGGAACTCATTGAATAATTTATTTTAAAATATATATAAGGAAGATGAAAGGAATAATAAGTAACAGATAATGAATGAAGAGGATGGCATGAGTCTATAAAAATAAAGTTAAATGCGTTAAAGCTCAGAATGAGTTCAAGCTGCAGGAGACTTAAGGATAATCAAAAGATTGTTTTTAGCCATATTGCAGTGAGTAATCACTGTGAGTAAATCATTTGCTCAAATATCACTGAAACCAAGGCATAGGGGAAGGATTCTGAAATAATGTGCTTTTCCACCTCAGTTGTAGTAAAGAGAACCAGCATTTGGCTTTGAACCTCTTAAAGCAGCCCTGCCAAGACCCAGATACTATAGTATATTTTCACAGGCCATGCTCAACTCAGCCTGGGAGATGTATATACTCAGTCTGTAAAGACTGCATTCTGCAAGTTTTTATTTGACCCAAGGTACCTGATTGTCTATTAAGGGAATCAGCAAAGCAATAGAAACATCAAAGCCAGGACCATGCATCAACACTTTTAATCTCAAATGGTATAATAATTCAAGATAGTTCATCTTATTTTGTCTTGTTCACATTCTCTGGGGAAAGTGGGAATCAAACCCAAAGATGGGGAGCAATAGACATGGAGCCATACTTCTGAAATTCCAGCTTCCTCCAGTTTAGAACATTGCCCCAAAAACATTTGACCTTTATCAACTTGGGTGGAAGCACATAATCCCACATATGTACATTTCCAATCTCCCCAACAAAGGACTGATTTATATCAAACCCACCCCCATATGTATCCTGGTCTTGCCCCAGAATGATCTTGGGATTGTCACTCAAGGCGTATCCTACTTTCATAACCTTCCTCACCAGGGGTTTCCCATTCATCCATATCTCAGCAACTCCTGTGGCTGATTCCCAAGTAGCACAGATATCCACTGGGGTCAGAGGTGACTCAGTCACTTGGAAAGTAACCTCTTCTCCCCCAACTGTCAAACTGTACTGTCCAACTCTATCCCTGAAGAGGAGGATTTCATTTGCCGAAGCTCGAGTGGCATAAGAGAACACAGAATAGCCACGGGACAGTTCTGAGTAGGTCCACAGGCACACAGTGAAGCTCTGCAGCTTTTTGTTCAGCAGTGGGGTCAGAGTCACATAGGAATTAGCTGTTGGTTTCGGGAAGAGAAGTGCCTTACCCCGGAAATCTGTGGATGAAGAATAATGTGAAGAAAGAGTTAGCCTATGTTTTCCTCCATGTTGCTCTCCACAAGGATAGGAGTGTTGGATTCAGAACAATAGAACATAAACTCCTTGAGGGCAGGGACTTTTTTTTTAATCATTGTAGTTGTATTATCTAGGACATTGATTTGAATAGTGCTCAGTAAATGTTTAATCAATTCAGCCAAATGGAAATTAGGCTAGGATACACACACACATATGTATTTCAGAGGAAAAAACTGCCTTAAAGAGAAGTTAATTGACTTGTCCAGGATTTCATAACTAGAAACTGTCTGAGGCAGAATTTGAACTCAGATGATAAGAGATTGATCTCTTTAAGAGTGATTGAATCAAAAAGTTGGGGCAGGCTTCTGGGACAAGTCTGAGTTTTCACCTCAGTTGCAGCAAATGAGATGAGAATTTTGACTGTGACTACATACATATATATATATATATATATATATATATATATATATGAATATATGTATGTGTGTGTATGCATGTTCATTTATACATTCATATATACATACATATATACACACATATACATACAGATACAGACATACACATACATAGACATATACATATACTTACATATATATACATATATATATATATATGAAATGTTAGGTTAATGGCTATTAGGCAAGGAAGAAATAATAATCTAACTCTTGGGCTGAGTAATGAACAAAAGGTCCCAGGTTACTGTGAATGTGATACTGTGGTTTACTTTACCCATGAATCTATTCTTTACTATTTTCACAACTTATGGCATGCTACTTACCTCCACCTCCACCTACAATATAATTCCACCCAAGATGAGGAATAACACAATACTGTAGGTTCCCCAAATCACAGTAATAGAAGAAAAAAGTCAGTAGTTATTGGAGCTGTCCTGGGGTAAAGAGAGGTAGAGTGAGGTGGGAGCCTAGAAAGGTCCTACTGCCAGGCTATGATTGAGGAACCAGATAAAGCCAACTACTTCCTTGTTGATCAAGGTGGCCCACAGAAGGATCTCCTTGGACCCAGGAATAGAAACTAAGTGGGACTAGAAAGGCAATGCTGATGATCTGCATAGCCAGAAAGAGATAGTTTGGAGGCAAGCACATTTGGAATTGGGTCAATCAACAAACATTCATTAAGTGCCTACTGTGTTCTAGGTACTCTGCTAAATGCTGGGGATACAAAGAAAGGCAAAATAAATAAATCTCTGCATTCAAGAAGTCTAATGAGGAAGCAACATGAAAGCAATTAAGCACAAATAAAATATATATGGGATAAAATGAAGATAAGCAACAGATGATACTAAGTGACAGAGGTAAATTGGATGACTATATAGAATCATTATCCAGAAATGAGTAGTCACTCAGTAAGGCTACTTTCCAAACCTGGTCCCTCCTTGACCTGTCCTTCTAACACATAGCTTGTATTCGACATTCACACTTATAGTAAATTAACATTAATTACACTCAGCATCTGTCCAGAGAATCTTGTTTTTGTGAAAATTTTACTTCTTGGGGAAAAGAAAGAAGGAAAAGGACAAGATTATGTTCTAGAGCTTGTAGCTAGCCTAATAAAAAGCCCCAGATCTTCAGCAACTGACAGCAGAAGAGCCAATGAAGACAGAGAGGGAGTCCCTTGTGAGATCATAGAGGGAAGAATAGAAGAGGGGCATTAAAGCTCTTTCATGGGAAGATGTGACTGGGACAGGGTGCTAAAAAGACAGTCAGGAGCCAATCACTTGCCCTCTGGAGAACTACAGAACTCTATAGAACTATAGTGTACCTTCATACATCAAGTAGAAGTTGAATTAGATAAGGCCCTTCTAAAACTAGGTGGCATAGGGGATACAATGCTGGATCTGGAATAAAAAACACTCATCTTCTTGAGTTTAAATTTGGCATCAAATACTTACTAGCTGTGTGACCCTGGATAAGTCACTTAACCTTGTTTGTCTCAGGTTCCTCATCTGTGAAATAAGCTGGTGAAGGAAATGGCAAACCACTCTAGTATGCTTACCAAGAAAACCCAAAATTAGGTCACAAAGAGTCAGAAATAATGGAAAACAAGTGAACAGCAAACTCAGATTTAATGATGTTATGATAATTCCCTCTGGTAAAGGCCCTAAATCACTTCTCTTTCTGCCAAGATTGGCAACATCAAGCCTTCCAGTGTTTGGGGCAGCTTTCTGTTTCTCTTGCCTGGTGTCTTTCTGTTGTCATGCTCATCAACACCCCACCCCCATCTCGTGTCTGTCTTAGCCCCTTTCCTTGACCAACTAAGGAGCCCCAAACCCAGTAAGCTCATTTCTACCTCTCTTGGCCATAGATCCTGAGAAGGTGATGAGGAGCAGGGTCCACAGTAGCTGGATCTCCATTTCTTCTTCGTGAGGCTTCCAAGGACAGTAACTGGTCTAAAATCAGAGGTGGTAGACAAGTCAATTGAATCATCTCTGGGCTTTGGTTTCTTCATGGGCAAATTGAATTGAATGAACTACTGCCATTGTCTTATTTGATCTTCAAAAGACCCCACAAGTATGGCAGGTCTTAAACTCAGGTCTTTCCTGACACTTTTTTTTTGCTCTTTCAAATTAGCTATGCTACCACTGTAAATTACCTTCCAGTGCAAAATTGGAATGACTGGAATGATAAAATTAACAGACATGGCACCAGTAGAGAACAGGTAAGTGTTGATCTTTAATTCAGAGACAGGAGAGAAAAACTTGGATTGTAGTAAATACTGATGGCTACATGAAGGAGACAGCATTTGAGATGGGTATCAGAGAAGGAGTCAGATTTTAATAGGTGAAGACTAGGGAAAGGAGTTTTTAGGTCTGAGGGAACATTATGAGCAAAGATGGAAGCAGGAATGAGATTGGAATGTGCAGGGGACACTGATAGGGTTGATTTAATTAGAACAAATAGAGGTTGGAGAGCAAATAAGGTTGTATGCATAAGGCAGGGCCAGATTGAAGAGGCCTTGGAGAGTCAAGCTGAGGGCTTTGAAATTCTGTAGAAGGAAATCATGGGCTATTGTATGTTCTTAATCCAGAGAAATTTATGGTAAAAATATTTTAAGAATATTTGTTTGGCAGCTGATATAGGATGATTTGGAGTGGGGAAGTGATGGAGGCAGTAAAACCATTTAACCAGCTGTTCCAGTAATCAGTTTGTGAGGTGATGAAGGATTTAGGGAGTATCACTGAGAATAGAGGGGAGTAGAAAATCTGAGAGATGTTTCTAAGAAGAAATGATTGCTTTATGAAAGATCAGATATACAGGGGTGGGTGTGATAAATGATCGATTAGACCTTTATTTTATTCCGATCAGTATTATTCACTTTTATATCTTTCTATAGGGGTAGTGATTATAAAATCTGAATATTTGGCTCAAGATCTGTGACCTGCGCATTGTTATTCCACCTGCTTAATCATAGGAAGCTAACTAGAGGATTCCACCATTGTTTTTCCTTGGTATGGTGACCAAGCCCAGCATGATAGAGTGATTCAATAACATGGAAAGTCCCTCAGCTATTTTTGTTCTCCCTCAGTCTCTTATCATTCCACTATTGCCCAACATCTGGAGATGGCCTTGAGCATTTGTCCAATAAGTGACTTTGTTTGCCAGCCTGTGGCCTTCCTTTCCATCAGTCTATCAGCCCACATAGATGTTTTGACACCTATTTTTTAGCCCAGCCCATGGGTCTGCTCCTCAGCTCAGTAGGACTGCCTGAAAGGTCAAGACAGGTCAGTTATGGTCTGCCCATCAACTCATTTGTCAGCTAATGGGAATCTGTATATTGTGTTGACCCTCCTGGAGGGTCAAGGGCAAGGTCTACCAAACAATAAGATTCTGTACTTTTAGTTTACTTCATTTTTATTGTCTGCATATCAAGCACTATAAAACTAAGGCTCTGGAGGAGGGAGGCTTCTCAGATTGTGAGGAAGACCTGAAATCCACTTCATTAGAGAAAGCCATGTACCCTTTAATAAAGTGCTATTGACTCAGGGTTCTGCCTCAGTTTTTTTTATTGTAAGTTGGACAATTTTGGATCCCACATCATGGTGGCTCAATGGGACAGTGATGTGTCTCTCCCCATTCCATAGACACACATACCTCTTTAGGCCAGCCCCTGCAAAGGACCCAAAAAGGAAGTACAAATCCAGAAGGATTTTTTCCAATGGCTCTCCCATGGAAACTGATTCTGAGAGGTTGGACTCCCCTCATTGTCCACACCTCAATTCTCTGAGCCTGAAGTAAGTCTTTTGAAGATGCATAAGCCTCCATTAATTTACCTCCTAAAATTCTTTCCCTTAAAGAAAGTTCCCAATTAGGCTAAGAGGGACTTATAGGTAAGTCTCTTATTATAGGGACTTAGAGCTAAGAGGTTTAATAAGTTCTGGAGGACTTGAATGATTTATAAAAATATATGGCCACAATTTTAACTTTTAAAGCATAAACTAATGTGTTTTTCCTCTGTTTTTCTTACTTACATTTTGTTAAATAGGCAAAACTAGAGAGATTCAATCAGCAGTGAAAGAGCCAGTTCCTCATTATTAGCCAGATAGCTAGCAGCTAGCAGAACTTCTTTTATCAAAGTCAAAAACAAGGTTTTTGTTTTTTCCCCTTTAAATCCTTTTAACAAGGAGTAATTAAATCATTTTTGTCATTCTTAGAGCAATCTCTCAAATTGACTGAGGGGGGACTTCAGCAGTGGCTCATAGTGGGGGAGGAACACATCTTGAAGACTCCAACACTCATCCTTGGATGAGTGGGGCTTGGCAGAGTGATTCCTCACTCCAATCTTCTGACATCACCTTGAAGGAGTAATAATTCAGATTAGACTCAATAGAGTTTCTCCTTAGGGGAGAGATTCCCCACTCAATGGCAAACTGTCAAGGCACGTAATTACCCTGGAAATAATCCCCTCTCTTCTGACCAGAGAAGAAGGTTCATTTAAACTTTACAGATATCAGGAAAGAAGACTCCCTTTCAGTTAGTAAATAAGACTTCTGAGGATAGAAAGTCATCATCTGGTCTTTGGCCTTGTGACCCTGCTTTAGTTTATAGAAAAAGCTGGAGTAACTTTGTTTAATATTCACTCATAAAGATCTTATGGTCTCAGTTGATCAGTCTTAGGACCCTAGAGGTTAAGGCCCTCAATTAAAATTGGAAGAATTGGAGAACTTGCCAAAACAGGTCACTGAATATTTGAGTGCCTGTATAGGAAAGAACTCCCAGGAGAATGATCTCAGATGGTTTATAAATGGTTTTATAGATGTCTTAAGTGAAGAACTTCTCAGAAAGTAATAAAAACCTGTACCTTGGAAATCTAGTCCAATTCTCTAAGGAGAAGTTCCTGAGAGAATTCCTACTACTCAGTGAGGATGCCCACATGTGAGATGGGGTCAGGAATAAGCATTCAAATAGGATTCCCATTGAGCAAGTCTTTCATACCCTGGGACAAGGATGGACTCCCTCCAGCATGGGGTGACCAAGGACAGAGCTATCAAATTGTGTAAGATCTGGTTCAAGAATACAAAAGATTCAGGGGATTGTTTTGGCCAAGTATGGAACTAATGATTAATCCACCCTTAGCAAGTTATGGAATTTTATTGAACAATCTCACAAAACCAATTTGGAACAAATGAACTACTGATATTGCTAAATTCTTCATCTTCACAATATTTGATACTTTTCCATTTTACTCAGTCTCAGGTTTTCTTTCTGTGAATATAATTTGGAAAAAAGTCTAGAGGAATGGGACTTTTCTTTAATGGAAACTACAGAGGAAGGTTTTGCTAAAGTGCACCTATTTCTGTATGGATTTTAAAATTAGACTTTTTTTTGGCAAAAAATTTCAAAGAAAAAACCAAATTCCATAAAGAAGAGATTAAGGACTGGAGAAAATTTGTAACACTAGAAAGCAGACCAGCTTGGAAGCTGTAACTTCTCTTTTTCACATTGGAGAAACTAAGGTGAATTAGGGGACATATCCACTGCTCTTTAAATGGCTCATTTGTGTAAGTGTCTGTTTTGTCTGTGCTATGCTATCTGTGCTTTGTGCTAACTCATAGCCAACAGGTGTTTTACCTAGTTCTTTTCTTTTGGTGTGATCAACCAAAAGAAACAGTCTATAGAAGTAAACTTTCAAAAACTCTCAAAAAGAAGACAAATTTCTCTTTCTTTTCTCTGTTCCCAACTCTGACCATGTTGGAGATTGCTGGGATGAAAGACAAATACAAAATTAAATTTGAAACAAAGGAACAAAAACTGATTGAAAACAAAATTTGTGAAAAAAAGGAATAATTACTTTCTTTCATTTCTAAAATTATAATTTAGATGTTTTATGAAATATTTTGATGAGCCTTTGGGGCATCAGCAATGTAAAATCTGGTGAAACAAAAAATTCGCAGATCAGTTACTACAGAAAAGGGGAACTTTAAAATGACTTCCTAGGTCATTAGAGCCTTATATTAACAGTGACAAATTTTCCTCTGTCCTAAAGGAAATGAAGCAGATGCAAATCACAAGAGGAGACTCTACCATTGAGTTACTAGTAGTCTTACCTTTGACATGAGTGACTATTTGGACCTACTGTAGTGGTTTAACTATTAGGAATGTGGAGAATCTCATAGTTCCATGATGATAATGATGGTAGTTCAACTTCTCATTTTTAAGAGAAACTTTTTAACACAATTTTAACCATGAAAACACTCAAATATACAAAATAAGGAATAAATGTCATCTGAAATCTATAGCATTTTACAAAGGAAAACAACAGGAACTAACAGAAAACTAAAAACAAATGTCTTTATCTCAAATTGGAGGCAGTGTATATCCTTGATTTAAAGCCATAGTTTGAATTTTAAGAACTGCTTAATCATGAAATTTGTTCATGAGAGATTCAGGGAAATAGAAATTCAGAGAAGCATTTAAGAAAACGGTACAGGAGAAATCAAAGTCCTGTGAGTTTAAAAATTCCATAACTCAAAATTTATATACAAACTAAGTATATATAGTATATACTATATATACTAAGCCCTATAAGCCCTAAGCAATTTTAGTTAGTTAGCCAATTTTAAGTCTGAAGTTTCAGAGTATCAATCTGTGAAATTAGTTTTAATTTTAGTGTAGAATAAAGGTATAGTTAAAAATTGTATTTAAAATTGGGATGCTTATTACAAGAATGTATTTTTATTTTTAGAAAGTAGATAAAGGGAAATTTAGACCATCTTAAGAAAAGAATAAAAGTGGTTAGAAGGGAGTTCATTTACCTTTCTGTTGTTCACTGCTTTTAAACAACCAACCTGAGGACACCAACTAAATCCTGATTGGGACTCCCAGACTGAAGGTGAATCCCAAAGTGCACCTAGAAAAGGAAAAACTTGTTTTGAGATGAGGAAGCAACTGAAGGTAAGTGAAATTTTATAATACTACTGTAGTTCAAATCAATTGTTTAGGTAAATTAAAACACAGTAAAACTTGTGTTGAACTCAATGGACAAGAAAATAAGTTCAATATGGCATTTTGGTAGAACTACAATTAGTAAGATATAATAAATTAGGGTAGGAAAGCAGAAGATATGCACTTAGCCTTTCAGTGTAATAAAAGCAGATACTCTAAATCAAGAAATTATTATGATAAAAATCAAAGGATACTTCTAATTGTTGACCATTTGACAGTGAGATAAATTTAATTACAAATCATAAAAACAATAATCTACTTTACTATCAGTTAATGAAATTGATATAATGGTTTGTTTAAACATCAAGAATTTGCATAAATATATTAGTGTATGTCAGTCAAAAGTACTGTTGTTTAATTTACTAATTAAAACCCTATGACACTCACAATTACACTCCAACAGTTTGTAGCATAACCATCACTTTTCACCATGAGCTGATTTTGAAGAATTAAAGCAGAAGCTAAATGATAACAGTCAACTCTAAAATTTTTAATCTTGGCAGTTACTAACCCTTGTGAAAGCTGAGATTTAAAAGTGACTACAATTTGTAATTATTAACATTTTCATGGAAGTGAGGTCAAAGTTAAACTAGTGAAGTAAGGATTTTTGTTAATTTGAACCATAAGGAAATTAAAGTAGATAGTAATAATAAGTTGTTGTAAAAAGGCTAGCAATATCTGTGACATTCCTATGTCAATAGCCAGTCATTGTCAAGTGAACTCCTTTGTGAAATCACTTGATGAATGTTTTTTCCAACATTAAAGAAGTTATCTTTGAGGAGATAGATGACTTCTTCTCTGATGTCATCAATGAAGAGCTAGGTGGGACCTTGTAAACTTTGCAGTTGTTCTCAGTAAATTGAACTTGAGTGTATTTGATTATTAGACTTTGAAGATATTGGAAAGAACTACACATTTATAAGTCTTTAAGAACCAAAAAGGGTGGAAATATTGCAATTAATTGGGTTTGTGTAATAAAAACTTAGATTGAAGCATAAAGCAAAATTCAATGGAGTAATGATTAAGTCTGTACAACTGGGAAATGAAGATTAAGCAAGTAGAAAAAGCTAAGAGAAATATTGGCTAAGTAAATGAGAAAAGTTCAGTTTTGAAGGGTTTTATAAATTGAAAGAAAAGATTACAGTTTAGCAGTTAACAGTATAACCAAGTATGGATGAGAGAAGAATGGATAGAAAGTTTCAGGAAAGTTGGAGTCTATTTTCATTGACCCAGTGTGAATGCAGGATTTGAAAGTACAGGGTTTGGCTTTGAAAAATGAGATCTGATTCCACTGGAATGATTAAAAAAAAACAGACAAAAAACAAAAAAAGAGGATTTGATGCATTTTTAAAGCAATGCATCTTCTGACAGTGGTCAAGTAGAAAATTTGACAAATGCATATTAATTAACTGATTAATATAGAAAGAATTATTTCTTCATTCTGGTTTAAGCAGTTATGATAAAGAATTAGTAATTTAAAGGAATTGATTTGACTCTTCGGATGGTCCAAAGAAATATAGAGGCAGTAATGGGTGCTAGGAAGGTCACCATGGATTTTTAATATAAGGCAGTTGAGAAATAACTAAAATAACTGCCACTAGTAATAGTAACTTAAAATTTCAATGGGCTGAAATTTTTAATTTTAAAGCTACATTGTAATTGTAGTATATTAGAAGTTTTAAGTAGTCTTTGTATGTAAATGGGAATAATAAATATTTCCACAAGAGTTGTTGGGAAAAGCACATGATTGTGAAGTGCTCAGCTTTATGGGAAAATATCAGGGGTTCCCCAATTGGTAAGTGGTCAAAGGATATGAACAGCCAGTTTTCCAATGAAGAAATCAAAACAATTTATAGCTCATATGAAAAATGTTCTGAATCAATATTGATTAGAGAAATGCAAATGCAAATAATATGTCATTTTACATGTACTAGATTGGTTAAAATGATTGAAGGGGAAACAGACAAATGTTAGAGAGGATATGGAAAAGTTGGAACATAATTCATTGTTGGTAGAATTGTGAACTGATCCAATCATTTTGGAGAGCAATCTGGAATTATGCCCAAAAAGTTGTTAAATAATCTATTTCCTTTTACTCAGCAATAACATTACTAGGTCTACTTTCAAAGATGATTAGGGCAAAAGGAAAATAACCTACACATTCTAAAATATTTTTAGAAGCTCTCCTTGTGGTGACAAAGAACTGGAAATTATAGAGCAGCCCATCAAGTGGGGAATGGCAGAATAAGTTGTGATATATAATTGTCATTGGAATACTACTGTGTTGTAAGAAATGATCAGCTCAATGATCTTAGAAAAACATTGAAAAACTTACACAAAATAACAAAGAGCAAAATGAGCAGAACCAAGAGAACATTGTATATAGTAATAGCAATATTGTTTTAAGAGTGACTTTGAGCAAATAAATTATTTGAATTATTATAAATACATACATACATACATATATATGTGTATATGTGTATATATATATATATATATATATATATATTTGTGTCAAATGGTAACCATCTCTGGAATAACAGGTTGTACATAGTAGATTTGTAGTTTCACATGCAATCATCTTTTTAATATACTGTATTATGGAAATGCTTGTTTTATTCCATAAATTAAAAAATGAAATAAATGTATATATTTTTAAAATGAAAGGCAAAAATATTAACATGGGTGATAAGATAAATGACTTCCTATGAATTAATGGATTTGAAATGCATTTGATTAAAATAAAATCACCTAGTATATTTTGTTTTAATAAATTAGAAAATAATAATAACTCACCGTTGGGAGAAGAGAATGGCAGAGTTCTCTTTCAAGTTATTTGATTGTAAATTATGAGGTTTATATAGCCCTGCTGACAGAGTATTGTGAAACTCCACAGTACTGCAGTTTGAGGAACTAGGACCTCTCCCAGTCAGAATGGAGAAATATACAGGATAAGATGATTTGGAGGATCAAGAAATTGTTATCTTGAATCCAACTATTTACTGTGTGTGAACTTGTGTTACTATATATGGATATAATTCCTAATACTTGCTAAGACAATAGCATCCTGTACCCTACAATGACACTGACCTGAAGAAGTGGAAACAGCAGTACAAGGTTAAACATGTCTCTTAGGTCTGATCAACTGAGGGAGATAAGTCCCTCCTCCCCAGAGCTTTTATGACTTGGTATACTTTTTAGTTCATAAGGAGAGTCATTGTGGCACACAAGGAGTCAGTAGTTGATTCAATTAAGCAAGGGTAGGTTACTCCAGGGAACAACCCAGTTGTAACTTGTATAACTGCCACATGTCCAATTTGTGTAGTCTTTAATTAGCTTACATTTCAAGTAATAGCGGCTGGTGTGCATCTGTAACTTTGTACCACTTCTTGAGCAATTACAAAGAAAAGTCCTTAGCTTTTTTACACAGAAAGGCAGTCTTTGACCACAGTTGAACTATTTTTTAGTTCTAAAGCCACAATTCCCTCTAATTCCATAGTTTTGGCCAGTGAAACCTGTGCACAGGTATAAGTAACTTGCCTACATGAATTCTGATGCAGTGGAGGATTTCATTTCACTGTATTCTAGAGATAGCATTATGCTCATCCTATGGTTTTATCTGAGGAGCAAAGGGGGAATGATGGTTGTTAATAGATGAAGTTTTAGATAAATCGTTGAGGCTAATATATGAGAAAAATAGTACTAATTTAGCCCCCTCATTTTATAACAACCAATATTAATCACTTTGATATCATTTCATAGGGGTAGTGATTGTAAGTTCTGTATATTAGGCTCTAGAGTTATGAAATGCAAATTTTAAGTTCAGTTACTTAGTCATAGGAAACTAGTTAGAAAGCCTCCACCCTGACCAGGCCCAGTGTGGTTGAAGAATTTTATGCTATAAGCAAGTATAAGTACTGTAAACAAATTAAGAGAACATGAAATAATTTATTTGTTAAATGGGCAAGAGATGACTTTATTACCAAAGAAGATATAAAAAACATTACAAAATGTAAAATAAGTAATTGTGATTATATTAAAAGGTATTTGGGAGGGTGGCTAGGCAGTTGGGTTAAGTGATTTGCCCAAGGTCACACAGCTAGTAAGTGTTATATGTCTGAGGCCGGATTTGAACTCAGGTGCTCCTGAATTCAGGGCCAGTGCTCTATCCATTGCACCACCTAGCTGCCCCTTTAATTAAAAGTTTTTGTACAAAGAAAACCAATGCAACCAAAATTATAAGGAATGCAGAAAACTGGGGGTAGGGTGAGATTTACAACAAGTATCTCTGATAAAGGCCTTATTTCTCAAATGTATGCAGAACTGAGTAAAATTTATAAAAATATAATTGATAAATGGTCAAAGGATATGAACAGGCAGTTTTCAAAGAAATCAAAGCTATCCATAGTCATATAAAAATGCTCTAAATCACTATTATTCAGAGAAAAAGAAAATAAAGCAACTATGAGGTGGGACTTCACAACTATCTGAGTGGCTAATATAACAGAAAAACAAAATGTTGGATGTTGAAGGGGATGTGGCAAACTGGGAAACTAATGCAATGTTGGTGGAGTTGTGAACTGATGCTCAAATGATCCTCATATCATTGTACATGATCATTGTAGATCTAGATCTTCAAATCTAGAATTCCACATGTGGCCTTGAGGCCAAAGGTTCCTTACCCTTGCCTTTGGTCATCATCCCAAATTGCTCTGCAGAATCATTGGATCAGTTCACAACTCCACCAGCAATGCATTAATGTTCCAATTTTCCCACGTCTTCTCCAACATTTATCACTTTCCTCTTTTGTCATGTTAGCCAACCTCATACATGTGATGTGGTACCTCAAAGTTGTTTTAATTTGCATTTCTCTAATCAATAGTAATTTATTGCATTTTTTCATATGACTACAGATAGCTTTGATTTCTTTGTCTGAAAACTGCCTGTTC